TTGTCTGTATTGTGCTTGTGATATGTTGTAAAATGTTGTATGTCTGTTAATGTTTCCCTCCTTTTATCCTTAAAATAAAAAAAAATAAAAAAAAAGATTGTATTTTTAAAAATCATCTCCACACTATTGAATATGAAACCTCTGTCAGCTAAAATGCTGTTGACCAAATCTAACAGTGCTTTTTATGAAAATTTCTAACCACTAGCTAAAACACAGTTTCAACTCATTTCATTACTCACAATGTTCAAGAATTGTAAACTCCTCATTGTACAGATATTAGGAATTGACGCACTATTTAAACAATTCCTAAGGCTGCTCAGAAGGAAAAGGCAGTCTTCAGATGACTCCAGTGACTTACCTGCCTCCTTTTTATTATCTATCACCTTAAATTACAAAAAAATATGACAATGTGAAATTGTTTCAAGACAGATTTCCTCAGTAATAGTTTTCAGGATGTCATTATTTTTATATGTAAAAATATTACCATGAAGGAAAACATAACAACATGGTGAACTAGAACTTCAGCCTGAGCACTGATTATTTTCTTGCTGTTGAGAAAAATTCCTAGTACTCACAATTTAAAGGAGGAGAGGTTTATTTGGGTTCACAGCTTTCAGTCCATACTCCACTGACCCTGAGGCAGAAATAGTAAGGCAGAAGGGCATAGGAAAGGGAAACTGCTCGTATCATGGCGACCAGGAAGCAGAGAGAAGGGAGGAGCCAGGCAGGAGAGGCACTCTTCCAAGTCATTCCCCCACTGAGCCTGCCTCTACCCAGCCCTACTTCTTAACAATAGGTCAGCTATCCAAGATCCAGTCACCTTCCAAACATGTCTACCCTTTGGTAGACACCTCATCTTGAAACCATAACAATGAGTAAACACCAGCATCTGATATTTTAACAGAGATACTGGGCTTATCAGTCATTTGTGAAGTCATAATGGTTTGGAACACCAGTTATACTGCAGTATTCCTAAACAGTAACGGCTGCTTAACCTCCACAAGCTTCATTTAAAAACAAGAGTATAATAATCACTTGCATAAGATTAATACAGGGATAAAATTGGTAAATCCATGAAAAGTGCTTAACATAGTAGCCAGGAGATAGTGGATACTTCAGACATTGTAGCTATTATATTTTTCCTGTCCAGTGCAGACCCCGTAAGTTGTTTTATTCCTACTTATATTCAGTTTACCCCAATAACTTTTTGTGGAATAGGTCAAAGCATAATTCACAGCAGGCTCAGTGGGGAAGGTGGGGAAGGTGGGCACTTTCCCCACTGCTTGTGTGGAAACATCATCCTTTGTAGGTTGCACCTGTGAAATCAAAGGTGAGGGAAGGTGATCTGCCTCATCTGCCATCTCCATCCTGCCTGTGGCTACTGACAAACATCCTGGGCTGTCAGAGGTGGAGAGGCTGAAGTGGCTCAGGTGGTGCAGCACAAGTCCAAGCCGCAGGAATGCTGGCAGTGCAGCATTACCAAGAAAAGGGCGTGCTTACTTGTTATGGTAAAATATTTCCATAATCATTTCTATTTTACATTTATAAGGCAAAAAGATTCTAAAACGATAGTTAAAGTGAGTTGAAGACATACGTGGCATTTCTGAACATATTATATGAAGATTAATCTACAAAAATAGGTGACTTGGTACATTTTCCCCCATTTTCTTTGTCTTTCTTTTTAAACACTTGGAATGGGAACCATAGTAACTATGAGTAATCAATCAGGTAATGCTTAATAGTATAATAAAATATCAGAATTTTAAGCCAAGTGGTAAATGTCACTGATTTCATTTGGACATTATCTATTGCCTTTACTGTTTTTCCTATTCTTATTCTAGTTAATTTAAAGCCTTTGAAGTGTAATCACAGCTTTATTTGATAAGAAGACCCAGAAGAACATTATAACCAATTGAATATTGATCCACGAAGTTGGGATCCAAGAAATAGTTTACTCATGTGTGTACATTATTCCTTCAGCATAACCCCCACAAAAAACACTACTATACCTGAAAGATTAAAAGAGAATATGTACAGATTTAAACTATAACTGTGATTGCCTAAAAGTATAAAGTAAAAGCTCATTCTAAATGGGGATTTTCCTTCAATGTATTGCGTACACTCAATTTGTTGAACTGAATGCACAATGACATTGATCAGACTCTCTCACCTAAACGTACTGTGGCATTACACAGTGCTTGTAACTACTACTTTACAATTTAGTATTGTGCTTTTAGCCAACATAACATTATTTTCTTACTAATTTTGAAAATCTTCAGTTGACTTGATTGAGGTACTAATGGTCTTCCCTGACGCTGATGCAAACGCTTTGTAATGACATGAAAGAGACTAGCCTTTACATAATATACTTCTGCTCAGAGGTTGCCTACTTCAAAACTAATGAGACCATACCACGAAATTCTAGACAAATTATTAGTTTCTAAACACATTTGCACAACAGGATCACAGGTCCTCGTCAGAGTATCCAGCACTACATCCAATTTGCAAGCACACAGCCTCACAGCAGACACATTGGGAAGATGCCTGTGGTTACATCAGAGAACACTCTGTGGTTGGTGTTCTTGAGCGAGATGGCGAAAAGTCATTAGGTTGCATAACTGAGAAAACATACCTTTATCTGTTGTGCTAATAAGGAACAGATTTTCCACAGAAATTCACTTCATAGATGAAGCAATCTTTTCCTTGATGAGGCCAAGAGAAGAAATTATCAGGAAAACAACTGCGTAACATTTAAGAGTCTTTCTTACATATCCGAAAAAATTCCCATTGATTTTACTGGAATTGTAGGAATATTATAGATTTCAGAAAATGAAATTCAAAAATGATTTGATTGGGTAAGTTTGAAGTAGGCCCCAAAATCCTTTCATCTAAACTAGCATTTTGTCCTATTACCTTCTCTTTTCTTTTGACTACTAATATACTGTCATGATAATCGGTATCACAAGAAATATATAAAACTCGGGGCTGGGGATTTAGCTCAGTGGCACAGTGCCTGCCTGGCAAGCGCAAGGTCTGAGTTCAATTCCCAGTACCGGAGAAAAACAAAAACAAAAACAAAAACAAACAAACAAAAAAAGAAATATATAAAACTCTTAAAAGTGACTCAGTAGAAAACTTCATAAGCCGAGTGTCAGAGTTTGGAGAGTGTTTTAGAAGTCACAGCTTGAGAAAATCATTATGGTTCATTTGTAGGTGCAAGCAACAATGTTCCAACTTTTAGCAACAATGGAACAAAAATGAAATCCCTGGCATATAAGACAACTGTACCTCAAGGCTTATGACTGTTAATGGTGATATGTCAACTTACTGATTTAAGAAATGCCTAGCAGATTAGTAGAGCACGCTTTTGTGTAGGTCACAGAGGAGTGACCCAGGGTACTATATATAGTCACTGGCCCCTCATTTCTGGCACAATTGCCCTGCTCTGCTTTCCAGCCACCATGAACTAAGCATCTTTGCTCTAAAATGGCCTTCTACCACGTTTTTACCTTGAAGCTAGCCTAAAACTGTGAGCCAAATTAAACTTTTCCTCCTTTAAGCTACAAGTGTCAGGTATTGGTCCTAGGAACAAGAAAGCTAACTAATAGAATGCCCAAGCACTGCAAAATAGAAGGGTATAGCTATGCATCATGTTCTTCTCTGCTGTACCTTCAAGTTAAGAAAGACAATATGTTCACTCTTGGAAGATTCACCTACCCTCCAGGTTTATGTACTAATCTAGTTGCATTTACATAAGTGAATGTAATTAAGGCCAGGCTTTTTTACATTGGAACAAATAAATGAAATTAAATACTAACAATCTAGCACATTACCATACTGCGCATATTATATTTAAAAGAACACAAACAGGAAAAAATGATTTGAAGTTAACACTCTTAATGAAGAGTTATTTTTCAGATTCAATTATACTGTACAAATAAAAGCAACTGAAATTGGATAAAACTAATTTCCTCTACAATGTACCATCAAATTTTCAACACCTTGCTTTTTCATCTGATGAATAAAAATACCTTTGCTTCCATTTATGCATTTAAATGTACACGCATAATACCTATTTCATGGAAGGTTATGAAAAAACCCTACAATTACTGGAATAGATAAACATTGTTAAAGTAGTGCCTTAAATCAGAAAAACTGATATGTACAGACAGTCTTATACATGATCAGTCTAAATTAAGAGGAAATAAAAACCTGAATAGTGGTTTCCAATTTGAAAACTATTTAATGGCTGAAAAAGATCAGGTCAGCCAATTATTTTCTCTTTTCTCTCACTACTAACTGAGAAAACACAGGAAAATTATTAAGGAAATGGTTTGTCCTTTTCATTGTTAGGGCTGCAGTATGACGATTATGCACAGCAAAGTTGAACATTATGCCACAGTTAGGAATGGTGGGCTTTTCGGACACTGGCCGTCTTGCTTATTCCCCTTAACAGCCAGCTAACATAAAAAGAAAGCCAGTCCTCTATTGGTTTTGTATGCATGTTCAGAGTTGTACATCACATTATACACATCTTCTATCAAGGCAACTAATTGTATTACACAAGCTGCAGCTAGTTGGGTGGATTATGTTTGACATTAAACCTAGAAGTTAATAAAATATTCCTTCTTTCTCTTCAAATTTTAGAGTTATGCCTGAGAGGAAGCTATATGGAAAAATACATTATTGTTTGAAGCAGTTTCTTTTTTGTCCATAGAAAACATCACTGAGATCATGAAAGAAATTGTGCAATATTCTATGGGGAAATGAGCGCTGGACCAGGGAAGGCCAGAACTTCATTTCTAGCTCTGGCGTTTACTCAGTGTTTACAATTAGGTAAGTAATTTAAGCTGTCTGATTTTCAGTTTTCTCATTTGGAAAATGAAGGCACTGAAGCAGAATACTTTTGTATACTTGTCTAGTTTAAAACTAAGATTAATTTCTCTTCAGATATGAGAACGGCATGGATCTTGCATAAAGATCATTGTTTTTTAACTTGACTGCTCTTTTCATCACTGCAGACTCAGATATTCCCTGTCCCTGGGAGGCAGCCCAGAACAAGCAAAGAAAAGTTCCTATGTGTAGAGCCCAGGCACTTGTATGTCTTAAAAGTTCCCTGGTTAATTTCAATACACCATCAGGTAGAAAGTTCCAACTTCATGGCCTATTTTAACTACTGCACTGGGCAGTGTGACATATAAGTAAGAAAATAAAGAACTTTATTTTCTCACATTTGGTTATTCAGTCCTAATTTATTCATTAAACAATTATTAATTTATTAGATGTTATTCAATATGCTAGATATCAAGGATACAAGGTTAAATAGTAAGCGAATCATAACGTCAACCATCAAGAAATTTCACCATGTATTATTTATTTTGTAAACAATTAATGTACCCATTACACAGGTAGCAGTTCTGGTAGAGCCCAGCATGGATAGCTAGATGATAATGCGTCTAGAAATTACAACACGTCAGATGCTAAAATAGCAATACACCTCATCTCACCCTATGTCTGATTATTTTTCTTAATTCAGAGGTAATTTCTTTCAAGTAGGCTTTATTTCAATAAATAGGATTAGCTTGTGCTATTTTAATAAAGTGCTATATAAAGTACAATTAAGCAAATGGTTACTGTTTGATTTTTAAAAGCAGACAGTATATTGGAGAAGAAAGTTTTAAACTGGATGGACAATGGAATTTTTTATTTCTTCCTATAAAATTCAAGTAATGGTGTTTAAAACAAGTCCACAACAGCCATTTAAAATGTAGTTTTTTCATTACAAGCATGAGTAGTCGGACACATGTACTGTGTACATTTCACAGTGAATTTAGTGTCGTATTCTTGACTTTTCAGCCTTTGTGTTTGCTGTACCTTCTCTTACTCACTTTCTTGATTGCTGCCTTTTCACTCACAGCGCTGAAATAACCAATTGCTAATGACCACGCTAAAGAGAAAGCTACTTTCTTGTGATAAAGTGCTTTATTCAAATGGCTTAATGATTTTTATTTGATGTAGGTTACAACATTTAAACTGGGCTTCTTTACTCCCTGCACTCCTGTTGAAAATGACTCACTGAAGTTCTAGTCTGCCCAGTTGGTTCAGTAAAGTATAAAGGTTTTAAAGTCTCATGTGATCATTTAATGTCATTTTTCCTATATCCTGGCAGACTGTTACTCTAAATCAATTATGTCTACATAGCATTTAATTTTCACTCAATGTTTCCTTTTAAAATAAAAACATGTTTGAGACATTTTGTGTGAAAGAAAACATGACTGGGCCAAGGATGTAGCACAGTAGCATAGAGCCTGCCTGGCAAGTATGAGGTTCTGAGTTCGATTCCCTGTACCAAAAAAAAAAAAAAGAAAACATAACAAAACTAAAAAAGGCCATTTTCTAGAAAAACAATATGTCAAAAATGTTAATAACATTATATTTAGCCAGTATTGCTGATTTTCTTTCTACTTTTCTATATTTTTAAAAGATTTTATGACATATACATATTATATATCTATCTTATTCTTTAAATATAAATATTCCATATTTTCTTAAAGATTATAGGGATGTCAAGAAGAGATTAGGTATCTAAGGAGAAAAAGTTTCGAAAAATTTATAATAATTTATTTTAAAAGACTTTTTTAGATATTGCATACATGATAAATTAAAATCAAATGATTATCGTAAGTGATAAATGACTTTGTATTGTAGAACTCACCAAAAATATTGATAAAAAGCAGGCCATCTGGAGCTAGTTGAGTGCCGGCTTCCAAAAGATCAAAAACATAAGTAATTTTCCCTGACTTCAAAGACCTGGCAATTGATTTGAAGATATGAAAGGATGGTAAAACCCACAAACTTTTCACATGTGACATAGTCTAAAGCATATGGGTACGTTGTAGATAGCAAGTCAGTGGCGAGTTAGTCCCGACAAGCTGAATGGACCAGGAGACCCCTATATTAAGTCTTGAAGGCCAGGTGTGGTTACAGACGCCTGTCATCCCAGCACTCAGGGGGCTGAGGCTGGCGGATCATTGCGAGTTTGAGACCAGCCTGGGCTACAAAGTGAATTCAAGGCTAGCCTGAACTGCATAGCGAGACCCTGTCTCAAAAAAAAAAAAAAAGTCTTGAAGAATATCTAGGGTCGGAAGAAGGAAAAGGCAACGGTAAAGCTCAGCAGATAAAGCTGATAAAGACACAAGTGAGCCAATGAGAAGAACTGGGAAATAAGTTTGACTATGTAGGGAAATATCTATTGAGGGCCTTTCTAGGTTTCTAATTAAAGGCAAAGTGCACAGTGTAAATAATATGTTCTTCCAATCACTGCAAAATGGAAGATGCACCAACAGAATGTTTAACAGCATCTGGTACACGGATGGCGGGTGCTAAAAAGTCATAAATATTATTGGTTGATGTGAAGTGAAGAATTAAGAGGAGATCATGAGGCTTGATATGAGAAGGGGACCTTGAGGGCAGGAGGAGTCAGGGGAGACTGACTCATTCATTGCACTATGGGCGATCAGGAACTTCTTTTGTTTTTAAATAACTTCAACCTTACAGAAAGAATGGTTAGGTAAGGATAAAGATTTCCTGTATGTGCTTTACCTGGATTCCCTTATGTGGTTCCCCTGGATACATGCTGTGAAGTGAGATAATATCAAAGAGAACCATATTTACTGTTTTCTCATGGTCTGCAAGATAGCTCAGTGGAGGCTGTGGTGATAAAAAGAAGGCTAGCGCAGAACTTAGGCAGTAGACAAGCCAAAATATCTGTGGGTGTCAATGGCCACAGCATCTGAGCAGCACAGATGACTGCAGAGGCCTTCTGAAGAAGAAACAACAGGATGCAGTGGTGGCTACAGTTGGAGGAAGCGTAACTCGGGACACGTGTAAGATTACAAAGGTTCAAGGATGGAAGGTGCCACCGAGGGAGTGAACGGCTGGACACTAGCAGCAGGAACTGTGGCCGCAGCAGCACCTCTCACCTTTGCATCCCCTACCCGCTCCTTTCTCCCAGGCTTTCCCACCCTTCTTTTCCCACATTCTTCCTCACCTGTCAGATGCTGCACCTGCCTCTGCTACTCACCTTGCCACATTCTTGCCCTTCTTCCAGATCTTATCCCAGTTTGGCTTTCAAAATGGCCACAAAATGAAAAAAAAAAAAAAAGGCTTATAAATTGCATGATGAGTACACATGAAGTAAAACACTGCATGGTGTAGTAAAAATATATCCATTCTGTGTAGCCACAGTGAAGAATTCCAACTCCATTTGGAGGGTGAAAAAAGTACAAAACAATGACTATATTCTGTTCAAAGTCCCCTGTAAGATCTTCTTTCCTTGTGCTCTCCAACTTTGCCATGTACCAGGATCACCCAGAGGGCTGGCTAAACAACTGTGTGCCCTGACCCACAGTCGCAGACTAGGGAGGTGAGGAGTGGCGCCCACAGGTTTGTTTCCAGTGAAGCTCACGAAGGTGCGGAGATGGCACACTGACAGCCAGAGCCCTGGCGCACTAGCGAAGATGATCTGCTCATTCTGCCTCAGGAGGAAGGAAGGAAGGCAGAGAATAGCATCCTGGATACAAAGAGAAGTTTTCTCTTTTAATTTTACCCACTTGTCTTCTGAGTTCACACAAAAGAATTTACATTAAAGGGGTGCAAACAGAAGAACTCAGTTTTTGTGAGTGCTACTGAGGTTCCCTAGTATACTGCCCCCGGAGTTTGGCAAAATCAATTACAAATATACTTGTAACTTGGCAATTTTTATGGATAGGATACAGTACTATTTTATAAAAGAGAATTATATTTAGTTGTTATACATTAACATTTTCTATGTTTCATTCCACTTTTTTGGAGAGGATACTACAACAATTACTTCCTGTATTAATTACTTTCCTACTACTGGGACAAAATTCTGAACACCTACAATTTAAAGGAAAATGTTTGCCCACAATTTCCAGTGGGTGTGATCTGAAGTCAACTGGCCCCATGGCAGAAACAACATAGTTGAAGGGTCTGACAGAAGACAGCTGCTCATCACATGGCAGCTAGGAAGCAGAGAGAAGAAGGAAAGGCAGGGGACTAGAATATACATTCCACAGGGGCTGGGGATTTAGCTCAGCGGCACAGCGCCTGCCTGGCAAGCACAAGGTCATGAGTTCGATTCCCAGTTCTGGGAAAAAACAAAAAACAAAAAGAAAACCTTCCACATCACACCCCCACCTCCAAGAAGGCCTCACCCACAAGCAGCATATTCAGCTACTGAGCTCCTCAGTGAATGAAACCATTGAAGAATATATTGCCACCACATCCAACCACCTTCCAAATGCACGAGATTTCAGAGGGAAATTTTAGATCTGAACCATACTACTTATTCAAAGACTGCATCAATTTATTGATTTACAATTTTGAACTGAGTTTAACTATGGTCTAAATAAAGTAGACTCCCTATGCATATCACCATAAAGTCTCAAAGGCATATTTACAAAGTACCTTCATCCCTGTAAAGGCAAATCTAGAGCTTTTCTATGATAACTCATATTGAAAAATACAGGTTTATCAGCGATCTTAACAGACATTGACAAAACCTATGTAGCCATGTTTTCTATCTGATGGTTGACATGCTATTGACTTACAGGAGAGTTGTATATGATAAAATTAACAATAGGCCATTCAAACCAAGTCTTATTCTGAAATGATATGTACTTTGAATCATGCATAAACCTCTATTTCACCAATGGTCCCTAAATAAAAATTATTAATTACTTCACTACTTACTCAAAATAAAATCTCTCTTCATATTTGGCTATTTTATAACACAAGAATGACATCAATCTTAGGGAAAGGGAAGAATTGCCTTTCATTTTTATTTTTTCTCCTTAAATAGTGACAATTTTTCATTATGCAAAATACCCTTTGCAATTAATAGACAGTTAGCGCTGAAATTGAATTTGCAAGTTTATTGGTTGTATATTTTAATTATTGGAAGCATCACTTTGTTCACATACATTCATGAACAAATAGGATAGCATAATTATAATTTTAATTGGACATTGGTAATTCCTTCCAATGATCTCTTTTTTCAGCCTTATTCCTAATGGGTTATATAAATATGCTGGAATCATAGCCTTCCTTTTAGCTCTGAGCCTCACTGCATGATCTCTTAAGGACAGATTGTAGCCAGTGTTCAGTTGTAGGGAAAGAGTACTAAGCTTGAATAGTGATTTTCCTACCCTTTAGTTTTGTGATCTTAGACAATTCCTTGCTTATTTCACACCATCAGTTTCCACTGTGAAACAGTAGGATTGAGTTAGGTAATATTGGGACTTGTTTAAACTTCCAATATGAAGACAGAACAGGTTTGCTAAGGCTATTATTTCTCCAGTCATGCTATAGAGGTCTTCACCCATAAATGAAAGTTATCCCTAGGCAAGAATTAGAAAAAAAAAAAAACTGATTAAAAATAAATCGAGAGTTTTAGGCCATTCTTTAAGGATGTGTGGGCACACACGGATCAGGGAAGCATACATTAAGTTTTTTAGAGGGCAAAGTATGTTGGTAAATGTTTAACAATTGGTGTTTTAAAAAGATAAGTCCTGGGTAGTAATATTTGTCAATTTCCATGGATATATACTGAATACCAGTTGTCCATATGACATCACTTAGTCCTGAACACAAGATTAGGTTGAGATCATGTGAAGAATTGATGCTCCAGGATAAATGCCAGCTCCAGGTCCTGGGGCACTGGACACAGTCAATACATGGGGGTTAGAGACTTAATTCCAGCAACCTCTAACTTTGTGTGAGATTTCAGTCATTATTTGATTTGTAGCGGATCTATTTTCTTATTTATCAAATGAGAGAAATCAGGTATTCTATCTTCTATGGCTAAAATAGCATATCAGTTATAAAAGCACTATGAAAACCTTAAACTCTTTGCCAAATTAAATTTTAACTACTGTAACTTTTCTTACAAGGAAAAAGTCCATAATCAATTCAATCACTTAATAATAACTTTCAGCAAACTAAATTTATCAACTGTATTTACTAGGGATTTTCTCATTGCAATCAACAGAAATCCATTCAAACTAACTCAAGCAGACCTATCAAAGGCAAATTAGGCAGTCTGTGTTATTTGAAAACTTCAAGGAAGCGTGGGTTTGGATCGATCTTATTTCCTCTGAACATTTGGCTTCTCTATCTCAGTCTCTCTCTGGTCTTCTTTTTATCCTTATACATTAGATTTTGCTGATAAATGACTTATCTTTAAGCTCCTCAGCTCCTCCTCATCATTACTAATTTGAAGACTTATGCTTTGAGTAATTCAAACAAGAAAGAGAGAGATGGGATAAAAAAAAAAGGGGACAGAATTGAGAGGGAAGCTGATTCGGGTGTTTGCCTACTCAATACATACAATGAATTTGGGAAGGAGTATACCTGTCACACAAGTTTGGCCAGGGATGAGATTGCTGTGAGTCAAAGAGCTGTCTTATATGGCTATAACAACCATAGAAGTAACACACTGAATCCTTTTAGTGAAAGTGTTAGAAGAAAAGCATCATTATTCTTTGACTGATATTTGTACACTACCATGAAGCCATTGGTGCTTCTTTGAGGCCAAGAGCTGTATGTTAGTAGTGGGATAGGCAGAGAAATGCCTAATTAGCACCAGCTTTTTCTAGTGGCCATATTATGGTCCATATAATTTAGTTGAGGAATAATTGTTAATTTAAATCCCCATTACTATATTAATTCATTAATTAAATAGTACACATTAACTCAGAAATCATACCAGTTGTAGGACTGACAGGGAACCAATTTTTAAATTTTATACCTGAGAGAAGTCAAACGCTGTAGCTCAAACAGTTTGGAAAGTCTATATGGATATGAAACATTTTCATGAGTCAGAGATGTGTCAAGCTCCAGATTCATGACAAGTGGTGTCATCTGAAATAATAGGATCTTAAGTCTTAAGACTTACTACTCAGCACTTTAAACTACAACCAGCTGAAACACAGGCCACCTACAGACAAAACTGAACTGAAGTGAGGTGACAAGAGCTGTCAAATGGTTGAAAAATGTCCACCTGCACCAGTGACAGTTTTGGCAGTATTCAATAAGAGAGACAACAGAGGGGTGAAGAAACAAACAAGAAAGAAAAAAAAGACAAGAGAGACATTCTCTGCTAACTCACTGAGCAAAACTTACATCAACAGATTTCTGCAAAGGGCATTCTGTCCAGCAGACTGGAGTAGCAGGCACTATATGATATAATTGTCATTAAAAAACATTCCTTCCTATAGTTCAGTACCATGTCACAATTCACAGAGGTTAAATATTAAGGACTTTGACAAGTGACAAATTTGCTCTGGTATAAAAATATATAAATGGATTGCTTTAGATATAGAGTTGAAATGATAGGTCAGTCTGAAATGGGTGAAGGACACTATTATTAATTCCAGGTATTATCTTGTAACAGTGAGGCCACAAAGGAGATTCAATGAAGCAGATAATTTTACATTCACAGCTTCAGTTCTATGTATTATTGCCAGTGCTCTGTATTCACATTTATTGAACACAATTACAAAGCACCATAAAAATGTTGATTGTTACTGTCAAGATTATGTCAGAGGGTTATCATAGTTTCTTTTAGTTCAACTATAGTTCCTTTAAGGCTTATTGTACGATTAAATTTGAAAGGAAGAAAAGGGGACAAAATCATTGTGTTGTATATTAGGACCATTTACAAGGCAGATACTCAACAATAGTTTGATTTCTACACTGAGAAGTACAATTGAAAAGCCCTTATAGAGGGGTCCTCTTTCTTGCTATTAGCGTGTTTTTCTCCTCTTACTATTTATGATTTATTCTCACCCCAGTTCTATCAGAAAATTGGCCTTGTGCTCAGTGACTCAACAGAAGGATCTGGCAGGGCATAAAACAGAAATTCAATGCAATTCACTCTTTTTTGTGTTTCCAATCCTCAGGCCCTTAAGGAAATTGAGAGCACTTACAGAAGTGCCAAGAGAAACAGAATCAGGATACAGGGCAAACATACCGGGAGAAAACCACGATGAAGAGAAGCACTACACTTCCAATGAGAACAAAAGCAGTTTTCCGGGGTAGGTGGAAAGGTGTGTGTGAGAAAAGAGTGCAGATGTTTGGAGGTCTGTGCAGATGTCCTGGCAGCCGTCTAAGGATGGAAAATAGCTGCAAGGTGCACCTAGGCATATGAAGACCCAGGCAAAATACCAGGGAAAGGTTCTATCTCCCCAGGATATAAAATAAACAGCAAAGAGTTACTGGTGACTACGGCAATGGTCATCTCAGTTATAACCTCTATGAGAAAATAACTCCAAAAGAAATTATGGGCGATGAAAGAATATTAAAAACTGAGAATAAGACGTGGAAGAGTCACGTACATGCTTGAAACAAAACTTAACCTCATTTGACCCAGCTATTACCCTTATAGATATCTTCCCAAAGAAGTTAAATACATCTATTATAGTGATACATGCATACCCATGTTTATAGTTGCATAATTCATAATAGCTAAATCTTAGAAATAGCCTACACATCCATCAACAGATGAATGGATAAGAAATGGTGGTATTTCCACACAGTGGAGTACTATTCTGTCATAAAGAAGTCATTTGTCTCCAGTCATTTGTCAGAAAATGAATGCAGCTTGAGACCATAATGTTAAGTGAAATAAATCGGACACACAAGTTCTGCGACCTACACAGCCAGTTGTGTCCTGACAGGGGGAGATGGGAGATTAAGAAAAAACTAGACACATATTGAAAGGAAAGCTAGGACCGAGCGAGACCTGACCTCTCTGATGGAGAGGTAGGGACAACCCAGCATGGTCTGCCTCTTTATTTATACACAGTAAAAAGGTGGGGGGAGTGTTTGACAGGGCTGAAAGTGCAAGGCCTCAGTATTTTGCTGAGAACACTGAAAATGAAACATTCTCAGAGTTATCTGTGCTGTAGTTAACAGGAAAGAACATCAAGGACAGACACCTACCAGACCGGCTCTGCTCTAGTCCCAGCAACTTGTTCACATGGCTCGCCTCGGGCATTCCGTGTTCTTGGGGCTGACCTTGCTCTAGCCCTGAAGGTGTGGTTGATCTCCATCTCAGCCCTGTGTCAGCTGCTTACCAGACATAAGCTTAAACATCACATGGTTTCTCTTACATGAGAAATGCAAAATATAAACAAAGAGTAAAATAAAAGATAGATAAAAGGAAAAAGATGATAGATCTTTCTTTAATGCGAAGGAGATGAAGAGATGGAGGGACAGGGGATGAAAAAAGGAATTAAGAGGTGTTATGCATTACATACCACCAAAAAAGTACAACTCAGTTATAGAAAATTGAGGAAATACTATTTCTTGCCCATCCAAGATTATGGGATTTGATTTAAATCTGCTTTTTAATCTGTGTTCCTACTACATGCCTGAAAGCTGCAATTATATTCTGCCTTTAAAATTTTTAAAAGAAATAAAAAACATACTTATAAAATGATAATATTGTTTAGATTCCAGGGGAGTTGCAAATATCAGGCAAATCCAATAAATAGTGAGATTCTTATAAAGCTGTTGTTATTCAAAAGATCAATACATTTGATTAGCTACGTGAAAACACGTATCAGGACACTACACAAGCTAAAACACTGACACAAAATATAAACATTATGATTTAGGAATGCATGAAAAAGTAATATCAGTATAATGAGGAGGAATTGCTAAACATTAAGAAGTGTACTCTAAATAACCAATACACAAATATTTCCAGATTAGCTAAAAAAGAGAGCAAAGGAGAGACAAGAATAATTACAATTAAACCAATAAAGGCTTTTGGATTCATGTCATTGGACAGGAGTTATAAAGAGGTAAACTACTGCAAAATCATCCGTCACTTTTCGAAAGTGCGAACATTATAAAGTGTTTTTACATACAAGATCTACTGAAATGTTCATCATTTGATGAAGTATAGAGGGGTAGCCATATAAATAATGGGTATGATTTCAGGTGTAAGTCATGCCATGAGGAAGAGTAACTGAGGACTGAAGGATCGTGTGCACCTGCCTGGCATTGCGTTTCTAGGGAGGTGTCTGCGAAAAAAGGCCTCTGGCGCAAAGATCTGAGTGGACTGAGTGATCGGCCAAGCAAAGACACAGCAAGAATCTTTCGGAAAGGAAGCAGTCTGTGATCAGCGGTTTCACAGAAGGTGAGTCTGCATAGTTGAAATGACCACATGAGGCATAGTAGTCTCCTTTCTGCATTCTTGTCATTGTTTTAGAAAATGATCAAAAATATTATGTGCTTGTACATTCTGCCAAAATGAAACCCATTAATCTGTAAAACCAATAAAAATGGAAATTAAAAAATTATATCAAAAACCAAAACAAAACAAGACAAAAAAGCAAATGAGCAGCAATCCCCAGAGAGCCGCCAGGAAAAGCACTGTAGGTAACACTCAGGAGTTTGAATTTTAATCCGAGTGAGACAATGTGTCACTGAACAGCCCAAGGAGGAGACAATCTGAATTATTTTTATGTGACTGGGGCTACAGTATGGACAAACTAGTGCAGGACGGCCAGACTGGGAGTGAGGAGCTCACCACATCGGTACAGCTGAGAGAGGTAATGGTGGCTTGAAGTGGGAGCAGCAGTGGAGCTGGTGAACCGCGGTTGGAGTCGTGATATACTTTGTACTTCAAGCCAATGGGACTTGCTGGCATAATGAATGTGAGAGGTGGGAAAATAGGGAGAGGCAAGGATAGCCCAGGGCCTGAATAAGGATAGGGCAGCTCCTTCTAATGAGAGGGACTTACAGGTTGGAGACAATTTTTCTTGAATGTTCAGCACAGCTGCTATCCTGCCCTCTGCATATTTATCTATGACGTTTAGAGGAACACTCCCAGGATTTTTATTGAATTTAATACAGTGGATACAAAGCATTCAGAGATCCTTCCTTCTCCATATTTATTTGGTCAGGTGATCAGATATGTGAAACTATTGTTTTCAGATTTCTGATTCTTCTCTCAAACACTCTGTAGCTGATGTGCTGACTTCTGCTTGACTTTTGAGGGGCGAAGGATCCCCACGCGTGGCTCTCCTTTGTCTGCTAATGCAGTAACTCAGACGGACTTAATCAGAACCTCCGCGAGAGTTACGTAGTCCCAGGAAAGTAAGATAGCTGTGCAGAAACATAGCTGTGCCTGTTTAAACGTTAAATCATTTCAAGAGTAACTTAGGATTTATATCTGAATTCAGTTTTGTTGTTGTTATTTTGGTTTTTGGGTGTTTTATTTACTTCATGGGATATACTTTAGAAAAACTGTTGAGGGAAATCTAGTGTTCCATTCAGTCAAGTGAGGTGCCTTCAAAAGGAGAGAGTGGGTATATTTCAACATATGTCCCCACCAATTTTTTCTTTAAAATGATTCTTCCTCTGAGAAAAATATATATTTACAGTAATTTTCCCAAGCTCTAGCTATCATCATATTACCTCTACATCTTGCTGTATTCCACAAAATATTTGCCACATTTTCCATATTACCTCTATTGAATGTTTTCTTACAAACAATTTACTTTTAACATTTAGAGAAGCTTGTAAGCAGAACTTTACGTAACTACTCCTAGTGGAAAATCAGAAAATTACTTAAGATAGGAGGTAATGACATAAATACAATCACAATGGTGAATCCAGCTCCCTGTGGTGGTCTTTTCTCTGAGCAGAGTGATTCTAAAAAGGCCCTGCTCTTTTCTGTTCACTGTGAAAGTTTCTCCTAACTAGTGTTTGCTCCCGTGAGCCTACAAGCATCATTTTAAATTAAATGAGGTAAAATATTTCAAAGCTAATCAGGCTATCAAACACCACGGTGTGGGATTTCTAACATCAACTTCCAAACTGCTAATGGTCAACATATCAGCACTGGGACACAGACTAGGTTCAGAAACTCTTTCAGTCAGTGAAGAAAAGAAGTTTAGTGAGGAGCTAAATTCACAGCTTCATTACTTTCAAGATGAATTTTAGTGTTGGCGCTGACTGCACTTACTTCACTAGGAAAGTATTTGCCCGGAGTTGTTTGAAATACAGGCTTGAAGACCTCTTTCACACAGAAATAACTGCTCATCCAGCAAAATTTACAAAAGTCTTGTGTAACTCTGTTATTATCTGTTCTAGGGTCGCAAGCTTCGGCACCCTTGTGAGGAGACTGATTTTCTAGAAACATTAATACGTCCACAGTGCCTAAAACACTAGACCATTCTTGATGTTTTGTTGAATGAGTAAAGTATCATATTTTTAGGCATTTGAATAAATTCATGATTAGTCAACTTTGCTTGTGTTCTTTTGTTTACCTGAAATGGAGATTACTTCTTGCGAACACATTGTTCATTCTTATCTGTGCTTTAAAATCCACCTCAGATCACTTGAGCTGTGTAGTCTCTGTGTCCTGAGAATTTTTGCAATGCCTAATGCTTCAATAGATCATTTGACAATTTAATTATCTAGCTTAGCTACTTTTACATTTTTAAACTTTATCAATTAATTTATAATTAATCAACTAATGTCATAGCTGTATAACATCTATAGCACACCTGTACTATACCGCATTAATGTCTTTTTGTCCCAATCATTCCTCAGGTATGAGTTTACAAAGGCATGCGTGTTTCACTTTCGACACATGAAAGAATCCAAAGACAGGTGGAGCAATCGTATCTCACTTGGAATGGGAAATGGTGGGCTAAATATGCAATAAAAACTCTTACAATCTAGAGCACCTGGAAATGCTAGATTAAAAATATTTTTTTAGAATTCATGTCTGAGCTAGAAGGAAAGAAAAATATTTAAAAATGAGAAATGGGGAGTAGGCATAAAGAAGCAGTGGGCCGGGCATTGTGGCACACGCCTATAAATTCCAGCACTTGGGAGGCTGAAGCAGGAGGATTATTGAAAGTTTGAGACCAGCCTGGGCTACAAAGTGAGCTCAAGGCCAGCTTGAACTGCATAGCAAGACCCTGTCTCAAAAAAAAAAAAAAAAAAAAAAGACAAAAAAAAAATAAAGAAGCAGTGTACCTGATCTTGTTATTGAGGACATCAGTGAAATAATGGCAAAATTAATGTGCACCATAAATGCAAACTACATATAGAATTTTCTAGGAACCAAATTTTAAAATAATTAAATTTTTAAATAACATTTGACCCACTATCTCTCGAATAAAATCATTCAACATGTAAAAATTAAAAATTACTGAGCTATTTTACATTCTTTTCTTGGTTCTGTGTTTTCAAAATTGGATTTGGATGTTTTAATCAGAGAACATGTGAATTTCTAAGTATCTGGTAGTAGCCAGATATGATGGTCAGTGCATTCAGATAGCACAGCTTTAGACTTCAAGGCTGGTAGTAGTGTTCCCAATTTGTTTGTCTTCTTCTCTTGCTCTCGTCCTTCTTCAGCTCCCCATCCCTGCCTTCCTCCTCTTCCTTCCTTCCTCTCTCCCTCTTGCTGGCACACACAGATTTTGTGTGTTGCACCTTTTATTATGAATGATTTCTAAAAAATTTCTTGGATCTGCTCTTCTACAGTCCTTTAAGAAAGCTCCTTTTGGCCACAAAAAGCAATACTTTCATCACCAACTAAACACCCTTTCCCCTCATTTAATGACATGGTTTAGAAGAAGTATGCGTGAAAAAACCTGCATTTTAAGAAACTTAATTAAAAAGAGTTCTGAAGGCTGAAAAATAGTCAGCAGCTTCTGTACTAATAATAGTTTTAAACACAGGAACTTGCTCAGAGAAAACAGTGTTAGAGCCCTGAGCGTTAACAGAAGCACTTCCATTGTCACCCTTGTAAATTTTAGATTCACTTGTGCAAATGCTGGTAAATAACTCAGACTTTCAAGGATACATATGTAGGAGCAAAAAGGAAAGTGCAAAATTGGCAGAAAGGAGCTCTGGGGTTAAGTGACTAATCAGCAACCTGTGACTGAGGGACAAGTTCGGTGAGCTGCTGTGTGTGCATAGCAGAGGAGCTAAGGATCAGGTTTCTACGCACCAAAGGGCTGAAAACAATTGAAGCTCTCCTGTGTTATATGACAACTACGTAAAGTTAAAATTCCAGTGTCCATAAAGATTTAATGGTAAAGAGCCATGTTCCTTCTCTTGTATGTTATCTAGAGCTGCTTTTGTGCAGGAATGGGGTGGTGAGTAGTTGCAAAAGACTATACGTTCCACAAAGCCTAAAATTTACACTATTGGGTCCTTTGAATGAAAGTTTGCCAATTCCTGGCTTAAATCACCATTTTCCCCAGATGACTGTCAGTTTTCTACATAAAAAAATTAAGAAAAAACACATCATAAACTTTTGAACCATGAAAATCATGATTAGAAAACAATTGTAAAGTGATCATTGAGTTTTATGAGTTCTATTTTCCACTCTGATGCTTGGGAGCTGGTGACATTCATCTTAGATTTACCCAATTGAGGGGAAAGAGAGGCAGCATCTGTTCACATCTCTGCTTCACTCAGCTGTATCAACGGCACTGGGAGGGTCAGAGATTGGAAGTGTGTTGCTCTCCAAAGCAAAAAAGAATGAACTTGAATTTTTGCTGTTATTTTTCATAGTTTAATTGCTACTTATAAAGAAAATTAGGCAACAAAGAAACTGCAGAGTATTGGTCAAGATTGCATACTTTAACACCAACTAGGTCAGTTTGGGACAAGAATTTAACAAGCTTGTTGCATGTATAATGAAATAATGCATTGGTGACCTGCTAGTATAGTGTAAGCAACTCATGAATGAGTTGAGATGAATTGCAAAACCACTGACACAGACATCCCAGTTACTTCCGTCATTGCCTCATAGGGTTGAAGTAGAGGAGTCACTGTTTTTATAGCAAGTGGAAATGTCCCTCACACGAGCCCAAGGTCTCTTGACAGGAAGGTTGCAGTATGCCTGCTTGCTTATTGCTGTGCGGGCAGAAAGACTGAATTTCTAAATTTTAGGAATCAGAGTCCTCTGATTCCTAAAATTACTACATTTTTTTAAAAAAAGTCTACCATGACTGCCAAGTGAAAAGGAGTCATGTGGTCTCTAAGCTCTTAGTAGCTGGTACATTAGATTCCATAGAAATCCTAACACAAAGGACAGAATTTATGACAAAATTGTATAGAAATATTTCACAATGAAAACTATTTTGAACATTCAAATATATCAGTGAAGAACTGGATTATTTAAAACGAGATTGTCAGGATCCAGTAATTTATTTGTGCCCGCCTCTTAGATTTTTAATAAATGAGTAGTCAAATAATAATCCTTAAGACTGCTAAAGTTCTTTCTAAGTAAGAAATTTGGATAAGAATGTATTGCTTTAGCAACAACACATTTCAGAACTGTCTGTGACTGACACTGGCATAATATTCCAATAATATCAGGATTTTTTTTTTTCATGGCTCCAATACTTTGGTAGAAGATAGAGCAGAGGGAAATGATTTCACAGAGGTCAATCAATAAAAGTGAAATCTCTGACTTGAACTGACTCACAATAAACACATTTTCATTCTTTTCCACCTGACTACACACACTCATTCACACGCATTCTTCACTATCCTCCAAACTTCTTTATGGGAGAAAGTATCTGAACGTGATAGAGTTAAAGTGGTAGCAAAGGTTGCACAGAATCACCAACTAGAAAGAATGTGAGTGAACTATTCTCATCTCACCAGATTATCTTCTCATCATTCTGACTGCAACAATGAAGACAGAAAATCGATTTCATTACCAAACAACATTTTCAATCATAGGCTTCTGAAATACTCAACATGAGAGTTAAATAATCCTAGGTATTTTATGAATGGTCTGCCTTATTAGCTGTGTGATTTTTAAAAAATAATCAGTTTTGCTTTTATTTATGTGATGGTTTTAAAGTTTATTTGGCAAAAGGAACAGAGAAATTCTCCTAGTTTGGGAAAAAACCATGTTGAACATGAAACATAATGACGTGCGACCTGGTGCACAATACTATGTTAACAATTCTCAGAGCTTAATGGTCACATACTTATGTAGAATTGAAAAAAATTCCGCAAATTAACCATTGTCCTAAATCTACTGAATTCATAAACACAACCACTAATTCTTTTGATCATTTAAAAAGCAATAGAGCCTACAAAGAATAACTATAAATAACAATCCAAAAATTGGAAATTCCTTTCTTTTAAGAAGCAATTTGTTGTACATATGCTAATTTTTCTGCTTCCCTGTGGTAGTAGATGTGTATTAATTCAATGATTCCAATGAAAAAGGAAGTTATTAAGCATTTTGCATACTAACATGCTCTAAAGATGTTGCAGTTTTATGGTAAATGTGAAAGAATATAAAAAGAAAAACTTAAACAATTATTTATAACCCTTTCATTTATAGTACTAAAATTACTAATTACTTGCCAGGTTCTTTTTATGGAGAATTTTCTTCAAGCAGTTCAAAATATTTTATAGACATCTCTAAATAATCTTTGCCATTTTGCAGATGATAAACTTATTTGTAAAGTTAGAATTTCCACGAGGAAAAATCTTAAAGTCACAGAAAACTGAACTAAGCTGAAGGTAAAGGTAGACCTTAGCTCAGGGGTGATCTGTTCCCTTGGCCAAGTTCTGTATTTTTTAAAGTATCCTTGGGACTTTACAGTGCAGTTTTACTTATACATATGATTCTATGTATTAGTAAATATGTAATGATGTATTTTTAACTTATTTATTTATTTATTTATTTATTTTTGTCTTTTCTTGACAATGTTCCACTATGCAGTTCAAGCTAAACTTGAACTTCCTTTGTAGCCCAGGTTGGCCTTAAACTTGCAGTCATCCTCCTACCTCAGCCTCCTGAGTGCTGGAATTACAGGCATGTACCACCAAGCCTGTCTGTATTTTAAATTTTGTACACTGTCTAGCTAGTGATTTAAACCTAACCATATATATATTTTTTTCTTTGTTGGGTTTGTCTTTTTGTTTTTCTTCCAGTACCAGGAATTGAACTCACGACCTTGTACTTGCCAGGCAGGCGCTGTGCCGCTGAGCTAAATTCCCAGCCCCTCATATATATTAATCAAGATACTAAAGTTCTTTAGGAACAAAGGATTTTATTATCAAATGAAGAATTTTGTGATGAAATAAATCTCATGAAGATTTATGACATTAGGCAAATCATCTGACTTCTCTAGATTTCAAATAAATCATCTGGAAATTAGTGTGTCACTCGCGGTTTGTTGTGAGGATTAAATGAGATAATTAAATAGTGTCTGGAAGGAGGCAAATAAACAGTGAGTGGGCAAGGTTTCTT